GGTAATATTTCAGCTGTTATTCAAATAAGCTTTTATTCGTCCGAACTCACAGATGTAGTGCCGCATCCTTGCGTTTCGCGTGTTCAAATGCGACTGAATTATGGCACCTCTCAACGGTCCTCATGGGAAAGGGAAGATACGCATCCATACAAATCCAGTAGAACAAACGCATGCCTCTTATTATCTGTTATCGATTTATTTAACTTAATCAGCAATCATTCAGTATTAACTACATCGAGTATCCTGCCACTGTCTAGCTATGAGAACAATGCAATCACCATCCCGAAAGATTTAGTACTTCTGCAGCTTGCGGCTGTTCGTTCAAAGTTGGTGTGAACGCGAATGACACGTACTCAAGTCGATGTATTGTTCAGTGCTTGTTAGATGGTTAAGAAGAGACAATGCAACAGAACCCGAAGAATATCTAAAACGTTCCCACATTGGAAAGGTTTCAGATAATTATTAATTGGGTATACCTGAGAAAGATTAATGATCAAATGTCTGCGCCACGAGAATGGTTCGTTTCCTGTTGCATTTGTGATGAGGTCAAACGAGTCAAGGGGCTGACAGGAAAACGAAGAACGAAAATGCGCGAGTCTTTAGTTTCAGCAGCAAAGTACTAATGGTACAGTGTACAGCAAAATTTTCATACTTTAGGTGGGTTCTTTCGGAAGGCCTTGGCTGCAGTGAGTCTGGACATTTAAATACTCTTCTGTAAACTGTGCATGATCAATACATTTTGCAAAAAAAAACTGTCGTTATGTAAAAGAAACGATTGACTTTATGGTACTTCATGGTTCTTCCCAATAACTTTCAAATGATGTGCTGAAGACGGACCCACGCTGAAGTGCATGTCAGTCTGGATGGTTAACTAGAGTGCGTTTCAATATTGCACTATACACATGTGATACTTATGATTAAATTTACATAGCAATCAATAAACCCTGTCATCATGGATTTTCTAGCAAACTGCTAGCTTTCAATACCGCCGGCAAGAATAACTTTCTCGTTGTAGATTCTCCGGATTTGAATAGCAAAGCGGATCGTCTCCTTCTAGTAGCCTACGGGACCGTTTAAGCAGGCCATGATATTTTGGCACCTGTTATGTATGAGCGCAAAATAGCACCACAAAAACATGTTCACAGTTTGTCAGAAAATCCATAATAACAGGGTCATTTTTTGATATATTTATTCCGATGCCACGATGCGTATTCGGTGGTGTTCGAACATGCCTCTGTTCGACCCAACAAGGTGGTGTTGTTTTGCTCCCATGCGTTGCAAGTGCTAAAATACCTTCGATCCGTGACCTGCTCAAACGGTCTCCTAAGCTACTAAAAGATAGGGGACGTGCTTCGTCTCGTAAATCAGGAGAATAGACAACGAGAAAATCATCCATATTGTTGAAATTTATTTTATAAATTGCTTATGAGTAACGACCTCTGAACCTGTATCCGATAGGATCCAGATCAATATCTGTCTGAACTTTGACACGTCACCAAAGTAGTGAGAAAGAGCCAGAATATCTGTACTTTGGAATGAATACGGACGAGTAACAAATGAAGTCAAAAGGCGCCGAGCTTTGGTATTAGCAGTAAGCAACAGGTTATTAACAAACTCTGGGATGAAGAGATATTGGCAGAAGAATAAAGCTGCGGATGTAGAAAGAGATAGGGCGTTCTGAGGACCTTCCTATGTGACCTGTAGACGGTCTCACTTTACAAAGCTGAAAAAATTGAACTGAAAGAGACGGAAATGAAGATTTTAAGATCAGCATTAACAGTGAAGTGGTAAGATCTGGTGTCAGCTGTTATTGTTCAGAGAGAGATGAGAATATTCAACTAAAATGAACGTTTAGCTGCAAATAAGGCGACTAAGACGGTGGAGCCATTGCCAGCGGATGGACAATAGCCGCTCTGCCGGTGAGGCGAAAGCAAGATGGCCAGCGACCACAAGGAAGAGCCATAGTAGAATTGGAAGATCTCGTTATTACTGACATGATATCAAAAGTATTGAACATGCATATATTCGATCCAGCTGGAAGGCCTCTACGGCACCCGACGTCGTCTTCGATGCTATATGATTAAATGAAGAAACTTGCGTAGAGTAACCATTTTGAAGACGACTTGATGGAGAACTTTACTGGTATTTTTCTCTGCCAGCTTGATGAAATTATCAACTATGATTCTAACTGCCATGATCCAGAGTTTGATTTCAAACAGCAGAATTAAGATATCTGAATATCAGCCCGAGTAATGAAGATGACAAGGTTTTAGAACAGGGAAACGTGTGAATCAGCTACAGATGCAATTGTCGACAACACTGGCCTAATTAATGAGCGTATTGGAATATCTGACCGAATTTCTGTTTCTGGGTTGAATTCAAATTCAATTGATCAATGCATTTCACAAATTTTCCAATTAAATTAAGTGGCAGATGTGAGACTGCGTGCCATAATGGCTATTAAGGTGGGATTTCTGCCATATATGCGATTCTCGATCAGAACTTAGCCGTTATTAAAAACATGATTTCATCCCACGTACAAGATCGACGATAAATGGCGTGCCAGTTTTTCCTCAGACCGACTTGAAACTTTCAAGTTTGCATGACTACTTACCAAGAAAAGAGTAACCTCTGAATCTTGAACATCGGATGATAAAATTTAGAGAAAATGACTGTTTAAATCGAACTGCCTTCGTTGAGAATGAAAGCAAAACTGCATGCTGCTCTGAGAGGATATCAGTCATCATTCGGAAAACGTCTACCTTTTCACTGATGAAGGTCATAGTGCAGAGGAATGCTGTTAGTGAAATCTACTACCAGACATTCTGAGTAGGGGACGATGTCCGCTTACCATAAATCCAATGTCCTGGTCCACGTCGCCGAGAGCTGGAAACAACTGATATATGGCTTGGTTCCAAATAAAAGTACCGCGGAGTACATTCTCAGCAGCAACGGTGGGAGCTCTAATCAGAAAGAAATGACTCTGATACGGTTGCGATATTATGTTTGCACTTTCTTGCTGTGTGTTTGGAGTCATTTATGGTGACGCTCATTTTGGAGTTTCCTGTACTTTAATTATGAAGGCAATATTTGGCAGATGTGTTGTCACTGCAGCGTTTATTACTTACTTGCCTCTCTACTGACTAAATGGTACGCTTCCAGCTGCGTTTAAAGGACAACGGTTGCACTACCTGGTCCACGGTTCCATGGTTAAGGAGTACCAGCTTCTGAAACATCGTTCGAGGCGTCTCTTGTGGATAAAACGATGCGAGATTCATTTGGTACGTCAGGTGCCAAATTGCCATGGAGTGGCAGCCTTCATAAATGGACTCCTCCTCTAGGCAACTTGGAGCAAGGGGCGATGCAACAGGAAGTGAGATCTGATCTTGGATGAGTCGTTCGTTATTTAAGCTTCAAAGCTCTCTTATTTCTTTAGAGTGATTTGAGTCTGTTACATCATGCTTGAAATATAAGCGTGCCATCGTCTTTACCATTAATTCAATTGATTTCTTTCGCTGTTTTGCATGTCAGCGTTTCAATTTTATATTGGCAATAGTACGACGTCTAGTATATTCTGGCAGAAGCAAAAACTGAATGTTTATTTGATTTCTATTTATTATTGAACGGATTTTAGAGACGTTTGACGTTGCACGTGTTTGAGAGGAGGTGTGGAATGGAAGGGGTATAGCGTGTCTTCACTGGTTTGACAAGAATAATCAATATGTTAAGACGAATTTGCATATGCTTTGAAGTTAAGACCCATAGATTGAAAAAAATTGATATGACTTGGACACGAGACACACTAAGCACATGGACCTCGAGAGTTTACAAGGAAATGAACAAATAAGTTTTGAATGTGAGGTGCAGTTGATGCCCACAACATGTCGTAAAATCGGACATGATATGAATGACTGAAAGATTGTCTGAAAATCCGTGAAAATCACTGAATCAACCGTAACACAGTGAGGGCATCTCGCGACCAAGGAGCTTTCTGAAAGCAGTCTTGCAAAGTTGCACAACTGCTATGGATTCAACTACATTTTGTGCGACAATGAACAATAAATGCCACCGAAAGTGAGTACCACAGTGCATGGTATCGCTCCCCGCCTCCTAAGTGTATATAGCGCTGTTTATGCAGTCCATGACCAAAGAGTACACCGTAACAGCAAGAGGTCATTCCCCCACCATGAAGCCCGGTACTGGAATGATTATTCATCAGGTTCACATAAGCTAGGACACAAACTCACTTTTAACAGTTTGCCGAGACACACCATGACTCGAACTCTTAAAATATAATTCATAGGTGTCTAGCTGTTTATTAGCAACTGCAATTGTTCTTGTCCAGTGATAATGTAAGAACGGAATCGACTGATGAATTTTTTCGACGTATACGTAATAGAAAGGGAGTAAATTAAGTCGGAGATCAGTGGAATATAAGAGTCAAAACTCGGAGCAGCCCAGCAGCATTGGGTTCATGGTACGAAGGGTTGTTTCGTTTGCAATGATCTCTGATACGGTGTCATTATCTTATAGTAATTCCACTTCTGCTAAAATACAAAATGATCCAATCTTCTGGTTGAAGATGAAGAGATCGAGTAGTCCTACGACGCGAATTGGAAGGGAAGGCGCAGTGGAGAAGAAGACCACGTACACGTTTGTCCAAAGAGACAAAAGGAACAACGACAAAGGAGTAAATTTGGAAGAGGCGAAAGAAGTCAATGCGGAAATCACCTCACAACCTTGGTGGTAGTGGAAATGGAAAGGCCATGACGGAAGCCTTTGTACCAAATCGATCACGTCCAAAGGTACAAGGAGCGAGTAATTTGGACGAGTCGGTCGTAGGCGAGAACAGCATCTGTACAGGCTCGGATCACAGGCGTTTACGTCACACAGTCACGATCGATGTCGCAGAGAGGAGCGCATCAAGGGAGTCTGTAAATCACCGCTCTGTGACGAATTACGAGTGCATCCGAGCGCCGTCGCCTCGCCGAGAAGCTATCATCAATGAAGCTTGAAATGAGCAACGGCACAGATCTGGATTATGACCATTTTGCCTATGCTAATGAAGACTGCCGCAAGCTCGTCAGTCTGTATAGCAAAGCCAACGAGAAATTAAAGCACCAGTTTTCCAATAATACAGCTAACAGGAAAAAAGCTCAAACGAAGGCTGAAAGAAAATGGATAGCGTTCACATCACATTGTGTAAAGCGATGGGTCTAAGAGAGGCTACGGAGAGGAAAACAGAAGCTTGCAAGCAGTGAAACCATATATTCGCCTAAAGGTACGGATTTTGAATGTGCTGAAAGGCGAAGGAGGAAAAAGAGCTACGGATCGCAATGAACACTATTTGTCCAACGTTCTACAACAACTTGTACTTTTCCAAAGAAAACGTGAGTCAGAATTTGCCACACACTGACTTCTGACCCAGAAGCAGAAGCTGTTCCCAGCATCACCTTGGACGAAGTTAAATGGGCAACCAGAAAGAGCAGAAATGGCATGAAATGACACATATGAAAGCAGAACACCTCACCGCAAACGGAACAGTTCTGTTTATTGCAATTTGCCGAATGCTCTATGGAGTATATCAGGAAAAAAGGCTGCCCATACGACCAAAGAGCAACTAGTATGTTAAACCGTCGTATCCGCTATGATGTACGACGGGGAATGTTGGTCTGCTACTACAACTCAGTAGAACAAGCTCTGAGTTAAACAA